CCACACAAGCCAGTGAGTGCATGTCAGGCCTTTATTCAGTGTTAGTGATAAAAATACAATACATCCTTAAGGTAGAGAAAAATGAAAGTTTGTGTCAAATTCCACAAACTTAAATACTTGGGTTAATCATCATAAGATTGGTATAATTACATGATATTTTTGCAAAACTTTAGATAGTTTTCTGGTAATTAAAGCCAGATTCAAAGCTATCTGCTTCCTATTAGAAGCCATATTGGCCACTTTGAATACCTTAAAATTTCTTGACTTTTTTGCTTCCCAGCAAGAAGAGACAAAAGTGAGCAGAAAAGGAGTCACCTTTACAAGGAAGTCTTTCTAAAGCAGTGAAATGAGAGAAAATCAGGATTGAAAGGTAGTTGATGGAAATCAGATTGGTAGATAATTAAAGTAGCTGTCTATAAGACTTCATTAGAAGACATTTCAGAAATGCTAATGTGACTTGGGTTTAGGAATTTGGGAGTTAAGTAATTTGAAACTGCACAAAGTGGTTATTCATTTAGTTTGTATCAAACACTTTGACAAGTATTTTATGTTAACTTTAATTTTGAGACCCTCCCCATGATTAGACTATTCCGTCATCCATATTCAAAGGCAAAATCTGTAATTTGCCTAAAGTCACAGATGGAATAAAGTGAAATTCAGTTTTAACAGGAGGGCCTTTACCCCCAAAGTTCTTTTAAGAACTTAACCATAACACTAAAGATAACATTCAAAATTGAAATTATATTTGTTTCTGATTTTCTTATATCAAATAGCTGAATTATTAAGTGTGAGCATGCTTTGTCACAGTAGTTGTGAGAGCAGCAGTTTTAATTGCCATGGCCTGGACTCACTTAGGAAGGAGAGTCTTAATGAGGGATTGTCTTGATTGTGTTAATCCTGTGGGCATATCTTCAGAGATGTTGATTACGTTAGTTGAGGTAGGAAGACCCTGACTAGGATCCTGGGCTGGAGAGTGAGTTGAGTACCAGTATGCATGAACTCCTTGTTCTGTGCATTTGGTACAGTGTGACCAGCTCTCTTGAGCTCCTATCACTGTACTTCCCCATAGTGATAGACTTTGACCTGGAACCATGAGCCAGAACGAGCCTCTCATCTCGGAGTTATTTTGTCCAGGTGTTTGATCTTCAAGTGAAGACACTAAGACAGTGGGAGTCAGCTGCTTTCTCAATGAGCGCCTTAGGGAAGTTGACATGAATCTGGACAGATGTAAAAAGGTCCTTGTTCACTAGTTAGTCCTCTGCAGTTCTAAAGGCTTTTGTGTGTGAATAGCCTTGGCCTGTGATCAACTAGACTGGAATGTTTTCCTACATCTGTTAGGTGTGGATGACTACAAGTCTATGTTTCTAGACTGTCACGGCAGGTCACTTAAATTGAATAGTAGTGTGGTCACTTAAATTGAATAGTAGTGTATCAGGCAACATACTTGTATTTCTAGTCATGTAGAATAGGTTCTTATTTGTGGAAAGTTAGCAAAAATATCCCATCACAAGGGAAAAACATTTTCTTAGAGCAGGGCAAAGCCTGATTCAATAGTTTTATTCTACTTAATACATTGTCTGTCCCGACAGGTTTCCCAAGGGTTTTTCTTTTTACCTGTCCAGTGACTGACAGGCCCATTTGGATTACCTCTTAAAGGAAAGGGCAGTGATAAGTCTGTTCTTTACCAGAGCCAGAGATAAGACTCAGGTCCTTTCTATGAGAATTTTGTGCCTTCGCATAATGTGTTTTGATCAAGTACACACACACACACACACACACACACACACACACACAGCTGACCCCCCTCCCCCATCTCTACCACTATTCCCTCTCAATTTTATGTTTTGGAGTTTGTGTGTCTGGGGTGTGTGTGTGTGTGTGTGTGTGTGTGTGTGTGTGTGTGTGTGTGTGTTTCTTTTAATCCACTGAGTTCACTTAGCATTGTCACTGTACTGCATGTGTGGGTATATGGCTATCTACAGGAGCACGGGTAGCCTCTCAGTGGTTGCACTCTTCTTTTTTTTTTCCAAGACGGGGTTTCTCTGTGTAGCCCTAGCTGTCCTGGAACTCACTCTATAGACCAAGCTGGCCTCAAACTCATTGAGATCCGCCTGCCTCTGCCTTCCAAGTGCTGGGATTAAAAGCATGTGCCATCACCACCCCAGCTCAGTAGTTGCATTCCTAAAGGAAACTGTCCTTACCCCCCACCTTCCTTCAGCAGTCATCAATTGCCAATAGCTAGGTGTAGGATTTCTTGTCAGGTCTTATTCTTTTGGAGGGAAAATATAAGAGTTGACTAAAAAGAATTAAAGAATAAAAAAAGTAGCCATGCTTGGGATCTTGGAGAGTTGTCTCAGAAGTTAAGAGCTCAGTGCTCTTTCAGAAAACCAGAATTTGATCCTCAACACTATATAGCAACTCACAACTGTCCTACTCCCGTTCCAGGGGATCCAGTGCCCTCTTCTGACCTCAGTGGGAAATAGGCACACATGTAGTACACATCTTCATGCAGGCAAAACACCCATACACATAAATAAAATTTAAACTTAGAAAAATAGGCATGGATAACCAAGAGAAATTATCCTTATATATTGTGCACCCTAATAAACTTATCTGGAGTCAGAGAACAGAACAGCCACTAGATAGACATAGAGGCCAGAAAATGGTGGCACACACACCTTTAATTCTAGCATTTCAGAGGCAGAGATCCATCCGGATCTCCGTGAGTTCAAAGCCATACTAGAAACAGCCAGGTATGGTGACACACACCTTTAATCCCAGGAGGTGATGGCAGGAAGCAGAAAGGTATATAAGGCTTGAGGACCAGGAACTAGAGTCTTGTTGAGCTTTTGGGCTTTTAGCAGCAGTTCAGCTGAAATCCATTCATATGAGGACTCAGAGGCTTCCAGTTTGAGGAAACAAGATCAGCTGAGAAATTGGCAAGGTGAGGTTAGCTGTGGCTTGTTCCGTTTCTCTGATCTTTCAGCGTTCAATCCAATACCTGGCTCCCGGATTTGTTTTTATTAATAAGACCTCCTAACAATTTGTGCTACACTTATCCTTCCCTTAAAGATTCACAACAAAGTGTCCTGCTCCCACTTTCCTCCTTGTCATATGATATTTTCAACCTCAAGGAGAGACCATGTGATACCTCTCCTTTACCATTACTGTTTCTCATTTGTCTAAAGCTGATTATGATGGAGTGGTCCTTCTTTGGTTGACCTTCAAGTCAAGACCTTAATTTTAAACTAGCTTACTAACAGTATCACATGTTCTCCAGAGGCATGGGCTGATCACAGTGCATGCAGCACAATGCCTTACTCTGTCATTAATGACCAGCAGCCGACTAAAAATAAGAAACGAAATAACCAATTAGGTATTATAAGTTGGAAATTTTACTATTGATCCCAAACTCACATTGCTAATCATAGGTGCTGTTTGGCAGCCATGTTTTTCAAGAAAGCTACTAGCAAGAGAAATTCTCAGAAATTTCAAAACTTTTGTCTTTTATCACCTTTAGTAGTGATTTAGAAATAGTGTACTATGGCTTTGAGTTTGGAAATATATAGAATTTCATTCACTTGGATAGCGGGGAGGAGTAAGCTGCAGGAGTGGGGCTGGGAAGCGCTCCTCACTGCCTCCTGCTTCAGCTGGACCAGTTCCAGAGACCTCCACCCAGGTCCAGTCTGAGCACAAGGATTTGAGCAGAAGCCACTGTGAGGCAAACTAGGATTTACTAAGGTGAGATCTTGACAGAGTTAAGCATAAATTTCAATAGGTGTTAAGACCCCAAACCAGATGCTGCTTAGGTCTCGCCCCTCTACAGGTGTCTTTCTACCTTCAGAGCTGACTGCATTCCCACTCTATAGGGAACTGACTGAGAAAGTCTAGAATCTTCATGCCTAAGGAGTTTTTCAAGCTGCCCAAATAACCAGACTAGGAAATTGAAAAGTACTCTATGACTCTAATTCTCACTTCCCCAAAGAAAGTTTACCATGCAAGTGGTGACACCCGCTCCCCCGAAAGGCTGCATTAAGTGTAAAAATTAACACCCTTCCCCCTTCCTTCCCAGGAGAAAATCAGAGCCTATGGGCTTGTTATCAGTTACAAGGCCTGAACTCTGTCAGAATCCCCAACCTAATATCTGTTCTATGGCACTAATAGCTTTTCCAATGAATCTCTTACCCAAAAGGACAGTCTGCTTCAGTGTCTGTCTGAACTGCAAATTCTAGACATGCTAGAGGAAAGGATGGGACACACCTAAAGGTTTCCACAGGGTAAGTAGTCCTTAATTGTCTAGCAAATAGCCACATTAGATTTTGGTGGCTTCTGAAGTTACATTGTACAAAGAGTTATCAAGAAACATGTGTTTTTGTTTTCAATTTCTGTAGCTAGTACTGGGTGGGTCCTAAGGGAACACTGGACAAGACTATAGGCTGATATAACAAAGCTGTAGGTCACCAGGATTCTAGAAATCACAATAAGGTTTAAAAATGTTTTTACCATAAAAAAGTTTATTATAGTCTTGTAAGATCTTTGAATATTGTACGCTTGTAAGTGGGAAGGAAATGAACCCAAACTCAAGTCACTTATTCTCAATCTAAATTTAAGCATGGCTCATACCATTTTAAAATTATTAATTAAAAGATCTCTATATAAAAAGAATATTATCCATGTAGGCAATCTTCACAGCAAATTTTAAGTATGTTGTTGAAAATAATTCTTCAAGACTTTGAGCAGACTCTTCCATGAGGGGCTCCCTTCCTTCTGCATGTCGCACATACATACACCAGGGGTTGCAAAGGTTTGTGTTTCTCCAACACCCCCCTCATTAAATTAGTCTGTCTTCTTGGCCAGGATGGAAGAGTAGTGGGATCATTTCTCCTTGTCAAACTGAGCTGTTGCTTACTACTTTAGCTAGTGTGCTTATATAAGGTTAATTTTTAAATATTTTTATTCCTTGATAATTTCATACATGTACATAATATATTGTGAACGTGTTCACCCCCAATTCTCTTATCACTCTCCCATGCCCTCCAGAACCTATTTTCCCAATACCTTCTACTCCTTTCATGTCGTTTTTTTTTTTTTTTTCAGTACTCTGAGTTTAATTAGATTTTCTTGCATGTGTGTGGCTGTGGGTCTGTTTACTGGACCATGGGCAACTTACCAGTGGCTACAGCCTGAAAACCTAGCTTACCTTCTCCTTCTCCCAGCCATTAACTGCCAATAGTTCTTCCTTTACAGATGGGACCTCATGAGTCCCTCCCCTGTCCTGGACTCTTGTTTGTTTGTTTGTTTTCCAAGACAGGATTTCTCTGTGTAGTTTTGGTGCCTGTCCTGGATCTCGCTCTGTAGACCAGGCTGGCCTTGAACTCACAAAGATCTGCCTGGCTCCTCCTCCCAAGTGCTGGGATTAAAGGCCACCACCACCGCCCAGCTCTGTTCTGGACTCTTGTGCTTGACCTTGTGTAGATAACCCACAACTGCTGCACATTTATGTGTGCAACAATAATGTCCAGAAGACCATTCCATAGCATTCCTTCCAGGTTGTATTGTCTGTCCACACCCTCTCCCTTGATGCTCCCCAAGGCTAAGGGAAAGAACTGTGCTAGTTTTTTTTTATTACATGGTAAAGTAGTTAAACAACCAAGCTTACTTAATATGTGAGTGCATATGTGCTTGTATATACACATATATTCATGCGTGTGTGTGTGTGTGTGTGTGTGTGTGTGTGTAATACTGAGGAAAAAACTTGGTTCTTGAAGAAACGAAGCAAGTGTCCTACCATCGAGCCAAGTATGCATCCTTTCTTACTGGATGAAACTTCAATGATATTCACCTGTAATCCCAAGGCTCTGCCTAAAACCCTGTAATGCTGTTGAATTTTTCTTAAAGGAATTAGGGTGGAGAGTTGGGGTGGTTATTTCCTCATTTGTAAGAATTACATGTTTATTCAGTAGAACTGAAGTTATCAAAGTACCATTTATACGTCATATATTCATTCCTTGATCATTTACAAGGGATGGTGTACTATTTCTGTTTCTTTACCTGACTTCTTTTTTTGGTGGGATTTCCCCCTCATAATCAAATTTATTTCAAAATAATTTTCAATAAAATGTAGACATTTAAATGACAGCTTGATGAGATTTGGTAACTAACACTAAGCCGGAGGTATGGAAAATTCTATTTACCCCAGAAGTTTTTCCATTAAAAAGATAAATAGTAGTGTAGATTAGTTTGGTCTTCTGGACTCACTGATGTCCAACTTTTTACTCAGCAAGATCTACCAATAATATTGGATGTTCAGCAGTTCTTTCATTTTCAGTAGTATTTTTTGTGCATATCGACCACAATGAATTCAATTATCTGTCCATGAACATTTAGATTGCTTCCAATTTCACTTTCACTGAATATGCATGCAAGAGTTAAAATGGGAAAAAGAAAAAAAAAAAACAGGACAGATAAGTAAGGTTGTCATACAAAACATGACCTGAAAATGATGGTTTTAGAATACCCTGGCTTCGTGAATCATCAGAGAAAAAGACCTTTTGTCTCAGCAGCACCTTTAGTGGTGAATCCATTTGAGTGAGACCTCCCTCTAACAGCTTCACTCTCAAGCCCTCTGCAGTGCTGATAGTGATGAAGTTACTTGACAGGAGCTTTACAGCCCATCTGTCAGTGTCCCTGCTGCTGCTTGAATCGTGAAAGTGGCAATAGAAATATGTTTCTTCACTTCTGCCCAGGCCAAGTGAGGATCTGCTCTATTTTCGATATCAAACATGGCATCATAAATCCCAGGGAATGATTCTCCAGCATATTTGTTGTGGCTACTTGGAGCAAAGATGATGTGCCTAAACAACAACAACAACAACAAATGCTTATTTTTAAAACATGAAAAATTACAGATGTCATAGCTACATTTATCTAAGAAGTTGTTGGGCAAAGCATAAGTATGCAATATGTCATACAGACATTCTATGAAATCTTTAGAAGAATACAGTAGCATTATTCTAGAACACTGCAACAGACTGAAACAGCAATATGAACTACTTTAATATTCAAATATCTAAATATTCAATTAATAGTTCAAAATGTATTTTTAAAATAGAGCATAGTATTTTGGAGGACATTTTGATATATTCTCATCAAATTTTAAAATGTGTTGTCTTTTTTTGGGCCTAAGTCCCAGGGCCTGATTATAGAAATATTAATATTTATAAATGTTCAAAGAGAACACAAGGACATCTTAAGGAAGTGTATTTCATAATGGAGAGAAGCTCATCTAACAAATCTCAGTAATAAGTCATTAAAACTATAAATGAAAGCTAACCAGTGAAGTATTATACAGGGGACTAAAGTGCTAGAACTTTCTATGCTGACATCAACAGATGAATTCTTGAAAAAAGGTTGTAAATTAAGGTATGGTTCCATTTATATAAATATAAATGTTTCTGTACTAAAAGACCTGTGAATATGTATATATAAATATACATTTAAATGCAAATATAGTACATGAATATAGTAAGCAGATTTATGTAAAAATATGTGTATACAGTTACATGTAAACATGCATATAAAGTACACATTTATGTGTTAACACTTCATACAAGGCTGCGTTTTCCTGAAAAGATCAGCAGAATTAGATGTGCAATTGAGGGAACTGATGAAAGAGAACTGTCTCTAGATCACATGCTTCAGAGTCTGAACATTTTAAAAGTACAGATGTTTTCACTATAAAACATAGTTCTAAAGCATTAATAGGCTAATAACTTTCAAGAAAGGACTAAAATTGCAGATATTTCTTGCTTGATATATATACACATACATATATATTCATAACTGATATCTCTAATCTGTATCTATGAATAAACAAACATTTATAAAAACAGCTCACATTCCAGAGTGCCTCCCTCTTTGAGATGAATCTTCAGATGCCTTAAATCTACAGGCCTCAGTGCTAAGAGCTAAAACCTCCATTTGTAGCTGAGAAATCCAAGGTTTAGATAAATGATTTCTCAGGTCACAGTGGAAGACCTGTGCTCCAAAAGCTCTGTTTATATCATTTGAATGTTAGTCCTAACCACTAACGTTTAGAGAGGTGATAGCTAGCTTTGTAAAGTAGCATTTGTTATGTTAATTCAGACAGGCAAATCCTAGAAACATGCTAACACCAAAGAGCACCGAAACACTCAATCCTACATCTGCAAGAACATGAATGAAGAGTTTTCTGACTTTAAGTGCTAGGACCATCTTAATTTCCATCAAGGAACCACTTAAAACAGTTTTGAGATTTATTTACATTGTTATGTGCCTACATGCTTTGCCTGGGCATATGTATGTATACTCTGCGTGCCTGGTGCCTGCAGAGTTCAGAAGAGACTGGAAGATCCCCTGGAGTTACAGATGGTTGTGAGCCACCATATTGGTGCTGAGAATCAAACTTCGGCCCTCTACAAGAGCAACAAGTGTGCTTAATCCTTAAGCCATCTCTCCAGCCACAAAGAACCCTTTTTATTCTAAGGACCTTGAGAAAAATAGACTTTGGGGGCTGATAGCTCTAAAAAAAATGACATAGATAGAAAACAAAAAGAAATAACCTGACATAAAACAATATTTCTTCCAAGGGACATGGCAGCTGTCTTAACAACTTAAACCATTATATGGAATGAAACTAAATTTAATAAATGTAATAAGCTAGCTTGCTTTACTTGGGAAGAAAGATCAGGTCAGATGAAAACATTACAGGAGAAAAGATTTTTTTTTTTATGAAGGAAATTCTCTAATAATTACACCTTTCAATAAAATAGACTAGAATGGGATTCTTTACAGAGCAGTCAGCTCTCCACCACTAAGGCTGAAATAAATTGAGTATTTATTTACCTGAAAGCACACAGAAAGGATTCCTTAGAATTTGCATGTGCTCTAAGATTCCTTACAAACTCTGTGGCTAGAATATTTTGTTAAGGTTCTTTCTCAGTTTGGCACACAGTGAAGAACTAATTGATATGAAATGTATTTCTCTGATACTACATATTACACCATTACTGGATACATAATCATACCCATATTACATTTACCACTTATATTACATTTAGTATATTTAGTATGTAGTCATCTTCCACTCCTGTGATGGCATTAGTTTAAATCATCTTTGATAAGCTTCTTTGACTATAGGGAGGTGTTTGGTGCTCTCTGGAGCACCCATCTTCCCCTTACCTGTAGAACTGCCTTCCAGGTAAACCAAGAGGATCTATGAACGCTCTTTCCAGAAGCATCAGTTGGTCATTCATAATTCGCACTGCAATAGGACTTGGAGAATAAGAAACACATCATTCAAATCTCTACTAGTAGGCCACAATTAAAATAATATTAAATAAAGATAATATGTGGGAATATAAATAAAATAATCAATAGATCATTAACAGAAACAATGTTAACACAGTAATATGTTACACAGCAAACACCATATAACAGCAGGGTCATCTTAATAGCATTTGTAAGAGACACAGAATGTTACTGAAAAGTGGTGTGTTTTGGTTTTCAAGGCCACAGAGTGGTCAAAAAGAAGTGAAAGAAAGATATTCTTTATTTCTCTGTAGGATAACCAGACCTCCCAGAAAGATGGAGAGGACTGCCAAGTTATTCCTTATGACTCACACAGCCCCACTCGGGAAGAAACAGAATAAAGATAAGCAACAACAGAGAGTAATGGTTTCTAAAGTCTATGAGAAAGGCAGGGGCAGCTACACACAGTAAACAAGGATGGTCCTTTCCCCATTCACAATCCTTATACGGCTTTTGGCATAGCTGAACTACATACATCTTTGGGCTCTCCCATAATCCAAGGGACAAGAGCACCTCCTCAAAATAAATGATATGGCTTGTTGATTAAGTCTGAAAAAAAACTTTACATTGGTACAATTCATATTTGTTGTATAATGTTTTAATATAATTTAAAAATTATTTTCTACCTAAAGTGGCAATATCATAAAAAATTCCAGAAAAAAAATCTATACAAAAAAAGTGGTTGATGGGTGAATAGGAGTATTGAGAAGGACTATACAGAAATATACTCAAAAGCACCCAAGTTTATAGAGTTATGAATTGCCAGCTGTAACTCTCATCACACAAATTCAACTTTAATGTGAGTGTAAAATCATCTACAGTGTCACTTAAAAAACAGAGCTCTGAGAGCCCTAGTTATTACAGAACAAGAGGCCATGAATTTGAGAATGAAATGAGGGAAGGGGACAACAGGGGAATTAAGGGAGTAGTTGGAAATATGTAGTAGAGAAAAGACAACTCTAAGCGTGCCTTTCTGCTTTCTAAGAAGCTGGCAATTATTGCTGATGCTGCTGTTGTGCAGACCATGGCTTAAGCGGCGACACATGTGTGGGGGAAGACAGTCCGCCCTTCTGAGAGGAGGCAGCTAAAACTTACTCAGTAAGATCAACTTGTGTGAGTCTTCCATGAAAGTCTGAAGCAGCCTTTGAAAAGTTTGTCACAGCAGAAAATAAGGAATCTTTTTCAAAAATAGAAAAGTAAAAGAATTTAGTCAGTGGTTCACATTTCAGAGGGTCACATTACTGTTCTCTCCCTCATAGGACCGAACAATAGGAAAACCATTATTCTAGGCATCCTTCTTTGTGGACTCATGAAAACTATTGGTGAAAAAAGTTAGGAATTTTAAATGTAGTCAAATCGTGTTTTTAAGTGTGTGTGTGTGTGTGTGTGTGTGTGTGTGTGTGTGTGTGTGTGTGTGTGTGTGTGTACATGTGTCCTGGTGCCATGGAGGTCAGAAGAGGGGGTAAGATCTCTTGGAGCTGGAATTACAGGTATTTATGACCCACATGACATGAGTCTTGAGATCTGAACTCCTGTTCTCATGGTAGACCAGAAAATGCTTTTAACCACGGAGCCATCTCTCCAGCACTCCCCTAAGCTGGTTCTTAAGAGAATTTTCTTGCATAAGTACAGGGAATAAATAATTCCTTAATCAATTATTTACCCAAACCCCAGCATTCATTCATTGAATATATTTATTAGAACATTATGACATATTAGTCTCTATATATGTATACACACATACACACACATATATTAGCATCGGTCTTGAGCAGGGCCTTGTCTTTTTCTCCAGTTTCATCTCTTCATTCCTCTCACCATGCAGAGATACTCTTTCTTCTTTCTTTCTTTTGTTTGTTGTTTTATTTTTTCAGGCAGTCTTGCTATGTTGCCCAAGCTGGTCTAACACCTGTGATCATCCTGTCTCAACCTTCTAAATGCAAGGTTGTGGGTATAGACCAGCACACCGGGCTCTTCTTTTTCATTTTATGTCCACATTGAAACACCCACATGTGGGCTAGCAAGATGGGTCAGTGGGCAAAGGCACTTGCTGCCATGCTTGGTTTGATGCCTGAGACCCACAGAGTAGAAGAAAGAACCAACTCCCATGAAGTGTACTCTGACCTCCACATTTACATGGTAGCACACAACATCCAACCCCTACAAACAAGGACTCTAGAAATGTGATTTTTTTATTTAAAATGAATAAAATACCTGCTATTCTTCATAACTTCATAAAGATTACTAATCCTTATGTAAAAATCAAACTCACATTCAAATGTCACTAATGACCAACTCCATCCCTATTCTCTGTGCTCTTAGTTACTCTTTTTGTCCCTCTAATAACTTGTCATCTGCATTCGCCTTCCCTTTTCTCATATTAAATTTCAAGCTCTTTGAAAACATTAGCGATTATCACTTTAATATTAGTAATGTACTTGGTACACAGGAAACATTCAGTACAAATTTGATTATTTTGATATAGACTAAGAATATACATCTGGAAGTCAGGAAAGAAAATATTTACAATTAGTGCCAGTAGGCAACATTCACTGGGCGTTAAATGAAAATCACTACTAATCTACATAATCCCTAATAATCTCCCTAAGAGTGAAGTGTGTTTTATTGGTTCATGGTTTAAGAAATTAGCAATACAGGAGTTAAGAAGTGTTCTAAAGATCATAGGTACTAAGTGGAAGAGAGAATATCTGAATCAGGCCAATTGCTTCCAGATCCAGTGTTTAATATTACAGCATTGTGCTGTATTTCATCCTCCTTTATTAAAGACACGAGGTATGAAGAGCCAGTCATAAAATGAAAGACTGACTATAACGATGTAAAATAGCCTTTATGTACACAAATACTGATGAATATATTCAGCAAAAATAACATACGTAATAGAATTTGGGACTATAGGCCGGGCGGTGGTGGCGCACGCCTTTAATCCCAGCACTCGGGAGGCAGAGGCAGGCGGATCTATGTGAGTTCGAGGCCAGCCTGGGCTACCAAGTGAG